TGAAGGAAATAGTGGGCTATCAACGTGATGGGTTGGTGGAGTGACAGAGGTGGAGGTAGAGGAGAAACTGGCTAGTGGACATGTGGTAGGCAGGAAGTTAGTGGTAGAGGTTAGGAAATAGAGCAAAGATGAGGAGTGTTGAAATGAGAGATACATTGAGGTGCACTGTAATAAATCCCTGGCAATTGATGGTCATTGCATTATCTAACAAACCATTAAGCTAAGAACTCCGATCCCTCTTAACAGGTGATTTTACCCGACTCAAGAATAGTTAAGTTATCTTAAATATCATTTCTTATTTTTAATTTTAAATTCAAACTATTTAAATTAAAGTCATATAACCTAATTAGCATATTTGCCATAAATTATCTGAGTGTTCACACCCAAGTACTTACTTGACCTACATAAATTATGATGATGATCTAATGACATTTATGAAATGAAATTCAGCTGACGTTACCTGATGTCTTGAAGATAACAAAATTGTTTAAAATGCCTTGGAGCTCATTAGTCTCCAAGGCCTACATTTTTGGATTTGAAACTATTGTACAACTTTTTGCTTTTTTCCCACTCGAGTCAAACTCTTCCTCCTGTCAACACCTTGACAATGTCCCCAAGCCTCAGTTCTTACTTCGAATTCGAATTTAATGCCAAGATGTTTTTTGCTAAGCTCAACGGATTACGAGGCTTCGGTTTGAAAATTTTAAATTTAGTTTTCGACAAATATTCGCTCTAACCAAAATTGTCAAGAGGATACTAACTAAAGTAATAATAATTGCAAAGGGTCTCAATAAAATTAGGACATACTTTTTAATTCCGTTGAAATAGTTCTTTTTTGAATGGACTTTTTCTTTTGTAAATATTTCGTAAAGTCGTTCTAGAGCTGCGTAATTTATGCTTTACTGTGGTGAACCATTTGTAAACTGATTGCTACTACACGAAGTGGAATAAAATTGGCCTAGAAGCAGAGAATAATGAAACTAGTGCCAATTCTTTTCATATTTGTGATTTATGAGACGAGTATTTTCTAGGATGTTATTGTGAAGCAGATTAGATTCGAAATTGAAATCAAAACTATTTGATCACTTTATTGGTTTACAGTCTTTTTTTCATGTAAGGTGTTTGGATTGAGTAGAACAAACTTTTCATTCTTTTTGTGGATGAATTTTGATTACAAATTAAATTACATTACCTTTCACTCTGATCCAATTATTAATTTGCATGCAGTTTGTTGATTTAAGTAAGCGTTAGTCATTTTATTGATTTCTGGCCACAAACTGTTACGTTCTTTCCTTATCCTACAAGCATAACTGTCCACTTTCAGCTCTTTCTTATTATACAGGAGTTTGAGCAATTAGTTCAGGTCTACTTATTGGGGAATTAATTTTGCAAAACTATCTTTTAAAGAAAGAGGTTGCAGCGCTCACTTTACTTTTTATACAAGAATTAAAAAAGAAGATTTAGTCAAATGATTTCAACTTTCCTGACAGTGTTTTAAATAGGAATTTCCAAAGAAACGAGCATTGCCCATATGTTGAAAATAAAGGACTTTCTTAAAGATTATCTTTTCATTTGGAGTGGTGCTAAAGAAAAATTTAACTCTTTAAATTACCTCCAATGCCAGTCTGGTTAAATCGTAAGCAAAGGTATTGATGTAGTATAAGCTCTCATAGAACGCCATTATTCTGAAAAATTTTCTAAAATTTGTCCTGTTAAAAATTGAACCGAAATACCTTACTAATTTTTCGGTTAATTCGAATTTGATTTTAATTGTAGAACAATGGCTATACAATTCTTAAATGTGTAAAAACCTACGATAACAGAAGATAGGCCAATTATTTAGAAAGTTAACTTGATGGGTAACCATTTAGAATGAATAAGTAACTTAATTGAACTACAAATTTATGAACATTGATTTCATGGAATGCACTGTTAACGTTCCAATGAAATTGTATTTTTGTTTATGTGAAATCATTTTATATTTGCATTGTAGAAGCTTCAAAGCCGATAGTCAAATCAAGTAGCCATGACGATGAAAACTGGGGCCTTAAAAGAACATCATCTGCGCAGGTAACTGCAGCTATTTTAATTTATTTTCATTTAAGCCTATTTTATGAGTTTGCGAAGAATTTTATACGCCAAAACCTAAACTTTTACGCATAAATAGCTAATGTCCCCATTTTGTTAACACTTCTGAATAGTTATATAAACGGACGATGTAATAAAGGTCTTTTTTACTTTTAGAGCACTCTTACTGAAGCTGCTCGAATGCTGGCAACAATGTCCGGTTATGATGTTCAAAGACTACAAACCCACCGTGAAAACGATCAAGACTCTCCCGATCATCTTTCATCGCCTAAACACTTGTCCCCTTAGAAAGGGGGAGACGAAAATAGACAAATTCATACCATCTTATATTCCTCCGGGCTCACTTTCTTCCTCCTTCATTTCTCTCTTGGTTCCCCCCAAAACCTCGCTTGAAAGCGTTTAACTTCAAAGTCTATTTAACACCTCGTCCAGTTTAGAGCTTGTCAACATGGCGACTATTTTTGTGCTGAACCTTATATGGCGATCATAAAATTAATAAAATATCCTACGTTTGAACAATTCGTCTCTCAGTGGTTGATATTTAAAATGCAGAAGTAATGATATGACTACAAGCGTAGTGCAAAACTAAAAGTTGTTACCCAATTGTCATTGCATTTAATCAAAATCCCCATTGGAAGTGAGAGGATAATTAATCCTTAGTCCTGCATGCCACTTTTCCAGATTAAGGAATTGAATATTTATTTCAAATGGCAGGCGTTTTGATAACTATCATTAGCCATTTAGCTGACTTCGGCTTCACAGAGGGAAGGTTCATCAAAGTAGCAGAAAGTCGAGGGGTGGGGAACAGAAGAGCGATTCACAGATTTAAAAGAGATAGACAGACACAAAGGTAGAGAAAAAGTAAAGGTGAGTACTGTGGAAGGGATCGAATATGACTTGCGGCAGGCCATGAGAGCTTGAAGTCAGGAGTCAACTGCCAGTTAATAGACTTTTTTGCCGTATGAGTATACGTTGCCCAGGGTGCACCACGTGGAGGTAAGTCTATCGCACACCCCTAGGAATTGAATATAACTATTAGGAATGATGGGTGGCGGGGGGGGGGTGGGGGTGGGGGGTGATTGGTTAATGTGTCGGTTGAAGAGGCTCTATTGACAACCACGAAAACTAAGAAACCGTTAATCAATTAACGGGTGCACTTTGACGAAATTTTCTATGATTTTTTTGAAATCTCCACTGATAATGTGATAATCTTTTATCCTTGCTCTCGGTATCTGTTAGCATGATCAATTTTCTTTGAGCCATGGTAGCTTGAAAGTGATTTATTATTCCGTATCGGCAAGTGTATTATTACTGTCAAAAATGTAAAAATAGGATCCACTCAAGAGACACAGTCGATAGAATTTTAACGCTTAAGTGCATTTAACTCAAGTGTTATGTATCGCTTAGGGTCATTTGGGCACTAAGTTTCTAAATATAGGAATCGATTTAAATCTGGCGACTTTTGGAAGAAAGCGCGTAGATTAAATGATGTTTGGGTAGGAAACAAGTTCATCGTAGAACAGGGTTGGAAGCACCATTGAGCAATGTTTGCACTGAATGCTTTAAAAATCTACTGAGTCATCGCAAAGCAGAGACGAACAAAATTCGATTATCAATAAACCGCATAGAATTGCTGCGCGCGTTGGGCGGCATGGAATAATTCGATTCGATTTACCTAAAATTTTGCAGTAAACTTTTGAAAATACCATTTCGTTAAAAAATTAAATTGTGAAGTCTTTATGAACCAACCATTGAAGAGGCTCTTTCGTATGCAAAAATTGTCAGAATTCGGAGGTAATTTGTTCTTTCTAAAAGGAACTAATATTCCCCTCAGAAAACTGTGATATTACAAATATTTTTGCAAGAGAACTTCCTTGCCTTCTTTATCTACGTATGACGGGGAGTTTTAATGAAATCTCAAGTACAGTTAGCAGTAAAGCAAGTTGTTCAACTTCTTCTTCAATTGAGACATAATTATAATGTTCTCGCATTCTTAACAGGATTGGATTATCAGCATAGTGATAAAGTGGCATGTTTATGAGCAGTTTACCCACATTCAAGTTCCCCTCTGAATGAATATTTCTGGGTAAGTAAATGAGATGGGAAAGGGGAAGTGAGAAAGCTGGGGAAAGCTGCAATAGATCACCTCACTATTAGCGCATGGAGATTATCTTTATAAACGAGAGCAAAATTGAACAAAGAAGGACTTATTGATAAACCACGAAGATTGAAACTAGTAATTTTAATGTGAGTTACTATTAGATAATTATGCAAACATACGTTTTGATCAATCTTGATCTCTGGTTTAAGACGCAAGTCCATAGCCTCCTTAATGGATTCCCAAGCAGTTTTAGAAACGGTAAATAAATTCTCTTGAAAAATTTGAAATTGAAATATAACCTAGTGTTGTAAATGCTTCTCCAATATTAAAAAATGACATATTAACTGAATTGAGAAATTTCGGGAGACTAGTGAGGATGACTCTTTAATTTCCCAGTATATTCATTAAATCCAATGATACTCTAAAATTGCTGATTCTCCAGTAGAACAAGATGCATGTAATCAGCATGAGGAAGGTCGCAAAATCATCTAACTATTTTTTCTCTCAACGTAAATAAATACTAGCACGAGCATAAGGGACCTTGTTAACAGTGGCAGCCTCCTGCCCGGCGTTATAGAATCGAACGTGGAGTAAAATAAGCGTGTGCGTGTATGCAAACTATTTCACTTGGCCGTATTTGGCAAAATGTGGCACAGTTCTAGAACTGTATGCTTTGTTCTTTTGTGCATACAAATATAAATAGAGACTAATGGACTATTAAATGAACTACGAGCTTGTACTCCCTGATAAGACTTGACCATCAAGTCTTTATTTGTAAAAGTTAACCCCCCTAAACATGATAAGACGTCTAACTGTTCTAGAAATGATTAAGTTATAGACGCATGAAGTTTTCCAAGTGAAAGGGCGTTGTTCAGTCATTGCGCAGACATATAATCAAATTGGTTACAAACGATCATTCAAAAATCGATACGCAGTATTACACAATTGTATTTAAAATAGCTATGTACAAGGGTATCTGACTAGCCAAGATTGAGCTAAATGAGTTACCGCACTGGTAAGCCCAGAGTATTTGATGAAGAGGTAAAATTTGAGTTTTTCCACACAGGCTGACCCCTTTAATCAATATAAATTTAAAAGAACGCTATTCTCAAGTGTGATGGAATGTCTTGAGTTTTAAAATGGCCTTAAACGGCCTTGCAAGGAAAAATAATATTGGAATTTTCTAGTTTGATTTTATGGTCAATGTGATAAACAAAAAGTTCATATTTGCTCTCGATAGGTCTCTTGGGTCTATTTTTATCCAAAAACTCAGTTTTGGCTGATACATTTCAATTTACAAATCAATTATAAATGACAATCATACAAAGATGAATAAAGTTTGGTATAAATTGGGATTTTCATACAAAGAAGTGACATTTTAGAGAAATTGGACGTACTTGACGATTGGGGAGAGAAAGTCAGGCTTGAAATGTGGCCAGGCACGCAGAACCCGAGTACCTCACAGCTCATTAGTTGGCATAGGGCTGAAAACAATGAATAGCTCTTTGTCTAAAGAAATTTAAATAAGCAATTTACTGTTAAGCATTCTCGAAATTACTTAATTCGCTTAAATAAGCTAAATAGCCGTCCTGCTTAATTTTGGAGTTTTTAGAGCCCTGGAACTTGTGATTGTTTTGGAGGCTAATACAATTTCATCACAAATAAGTAAGAGGGAGCCGTTAAGAAACACGAAATGCACATCGCAGGTTTTTTTTAGTTTTGAGACTTGGAACCCAAGGGTGGACAACATTTTACATATAAGAGCATCATTCTCAAATGTCGACATAAAGTTCAATATAAGCTCAGTTAGAGAACCCTTTGAAATAACACCACCAAATTTCATTACCTATGAATCCTGAACCAATCCTGAATACAGATATAGTAAGTATCTAGTCTTACAGATTATATAAAAGATTATTATTAAGTAAGATAAACTGGAAAAGTTGTTAAAAATATAGAAAGTATATTTTAAATCGGAATTATGACGATATCGGCTCCTATTCATTGTCTGTTAAGGCCTCGTGATTCTGAATGGCATGTAAGATCTCTTTGTCTTCTCATATCTTGAAGTAAAATTACTTGGCGCTTCAGATTATTATCCTAAGGTTATTTATTAAGAAATTTGAATTAATATTTGTAAACTGAAAGATTTGATTGACATAACTATTGATAGGAAACTAAGGAGTTGGATAAGCACGTATAATTAATAATATCTCATATTGGTTTGAAGTATAATTTATTGATAAAGATTAATTCTGCTCTATAAACTTTAAGATGTAGTCAACAAATGTTTTAGCGACACTAATCAATCATGCGGAAAGCATTTTTTTCAATAATGGGTGGTCTTTCGTCTGTCGCCTGAAATATTATATTCCAGATGGTGTGGAGATAAGATATCTCAAAAGCCAGTAAAATTCTACAGATATATTTTGAACACATTAACAAAGTAATTTTTAAAAGAAAGGTCGGTTTTCTTAATGAGATTTATCAAAGCGTTGTAAGTAGTACTTGCAGGAGATTTCTTTCATTTTTTTCGATTCTGTGAGAGATTCTTTGCAGTCACAAATAGTAGCCATAAGTAGAGTGTCGAATTCGGTGGCTTTATTCCGTTAACATTCGGTGATTAAAGCAGAAATCTGAGGGTTGTTAGTCATGAATCAGACAAAATATAGATCCGGGAAAGTTGTTGGACCATTTTTATAGCAATACTAAGGGAGGAACCCAAGGCAAAATACTTTCAGTCGTAAATTTCAAATACAATCAAATCCAAATTCATAAATATTTAATGTCTGTGTTGTCCGAATACAATATTGTTTAGATTTGGGTGAGCGATAGACTTACCTCTACGTGGTGCACCCTGGGCAACGTATACTCATACAGCTAAAATGTCTATCAATCGGTAGTTGATTTCTGACTTAAAAATACCATCACCCCACTGTATGTCATATTCGACTACTTTCACAGTACTCACCTCACCTTTTTTCTACCATTCTGTCTGTCTCTTTTACATCTTTTAAACACTCTTCTGTCCCCCCCCCCTCTCGAATTTTTGTCACCTTGATGTTCCTTCTCCTTTCTGTGAAGCCTGAAGTCAACTAAAGGGCTAATGATAACTATCAAAACGCCTGCCATTTGATATAAATAAATATTGTTTAGATTTAGAGAATGAATTGGAT